TTTTCAACCAGTAAGTGGGGCTGGGTGCTGGGCACGGGCCAGAGGGCAATGGCCAGGAGATGGCACCATGTCCAGGCTGGTGGCGTCCTGAGCCAGCTTGGGATTTGCAGACAGGACAGTGACTGGAGGCCTAAAATGTGGAAACTGAGGCCAGGCCCATGGCCAAGGAGGTGCGGTAGTGGCAAGCTTAGGGCATAGCAGTGTGGGACCTTCTTTGACTTCGTGAGGGGTGGGGGAGCCCCTGGGCCGCCACTTTGCAGTCTCTAAATCAGAAAAATGCTAGGTGCATATAAAATAATGGTGAGGTGGTACCTAGCAGTTGGAAGGTTTTATTTATTTGAGAGAGCGAGCCAGAGCACAAGGCAGGGGAGGGTCAGAGGGAGAAGCAGACTCCCTGCTGAGCAGGGAGCCCTATCCTGGGATTCCAGGATCATGACCTGAGCCGAAGGCAGATGCTTAACCAACTGAGCCCCCAGGCGCCCCCTAAAGATACTCTTAAGACAAGTTCTGGGCGCCTGGGTGGCTCAAGCCTCTGCCTTCGGCTCAGGTCGTGGTCTTGGGGTCCTGGGATCGAGCCTCACATTGGGCTCTCTGCTCGGAGGGGAGCCTGCTTCCCACCCCCTTGCCTGCCTCTCTGCCTGTCAAATAAATAAATCTCTCTGTCAAATAGATAAATGGAATCTTAAAAAAAAAAAGACAAGTCCTAAGGGGTGTGGTGTGGATGGACCTCATTTCTCAGGCTGCTGGGGAATTGGGGAGATGGGAGAGGTCAGACGTGCTCCTCGGCTGTGGTCTGCTCTGGGGCAAGCCGGAGGAACAGAGCAGCACGGGTGGTTCTTTGTGACGGTGCCGACAGGGAATTTTGCGAAACTCCGTAAGACAGAAAAAAACAGTACCACACGTATATCCTTCTGTAAAACAATACGTACTTTGTAAGAACAGCGGCAGAAGAAAGTGTACCCAGCAACCGTGAGCATGGTTGCCCAATGGGGAAGGAAGTTAGGGAAGAAAACAGGGAAATGAGAGGAACAGTGGATCGTAAAAAGGGTAGTGTTATTCCTGGAACAGGGTGGGTGGGTTATGATTGGGGAAGGACATGGGGGGCAGTGTCCTGTTTCTTTATTTTTTCTTTTTCTTTTTTTTTTTTTTTTTAAGATTTTATTTATTTGATAGAGATCACAAGTAGGCAGAGAGGCAGGCAGAGAGAGAGGAAGGGAAGCAGGCTCCCTGCTGAGCAGAGAGCCCTATGCGGGGCTTGATCCCAGGACCCTGGGATCATGACCTGAGCCGAAGGCAGAGGCTTAACCCACTGAGCCACCCAGGCACCCCTCCTGTTTCTTTTTCTTAAGTTTTTAAAAATTTATTTTTATTTTTAAAAGACTTTGAGGCAGAGAGAGAGAGAGCCCAAGCAGGGGGAGGGGCAGAGGGAGAAGCAGGCACTGAGCAGGGAGACCAATCTGGGGCTCGATCCCAGGACCACGGAATTATGAGCTGAGCCGAAGGCAGATGCTTAACTGACTAAGCCCCCCAGGTGCCCCATGCGTCCTGTTTCTTGATCTAAGTTGTAGGTTACAAAGGCATAGGTGTTCACGTTAAAATATTTCCCTAAATGACACGTTTGTCTTGCGTGTACTTGTTTCTGTTGAGGTTCCTCCACTTCGCACTGTGTGCATCTGGGGGCTGGATTATCATCACCCGTGGTGCATTGTGGGATGTTCAGCAGCATCCCTGGCCTCTACGCTCCCAATGCCAGAACATTTGGGGGAGATGCCGAGTCTGGCTCCCTGAGATCTGTTCCCTTCTTTCAGGTTCCCTGGCTTCAAGGAGGTCCGACTGGTCCCTGGGCGGCATGACATTGCCTTTGTGGAGTTTGACAATGAGGTCCAGGCAGGGGCCGCTCGGGACGCACTGCAGGGTTTCAAGATCACCCAAAACAATGCCATGAAGATCTCCTTTGCCAAGAAGTAGCACCTTTTCCCCCTGCCTGCCCCTGCCCCCTGTTCTGGGGCCACCCCTTCCCCCCCTTGGCTCAGCCCCCTGAAGGTAAGTCCCCCTTGGGGGCCTTCTCAGAGCCGTGTGTGAGTGAGTGGTCGCCACACAGCATTGTACCCAGAGTCTGTCCCCAGACATTGCACCTGGCGCTGTTAGGCCGGAATTAAAGTGGTTTTTTTGAGGTTTGGTTTTTCACAACCATTTGTCATTTTTATTTTCTTATGCTCTGTGCCTTCTTTTCTTACACGTCAGAATATTCTGGGTGTCTGGACCTCTTAGCATGTTGGGGTTTGCAACCCTGGGGAAACACAGAATAGTGTGGTAACTTTGTCTAAGCTTTAGGCATCTTTACCAGTTTGGAAAAATTCCTCTTTTGTCTCCTTTGAGCATTCAGAGCTGGAAATGGAAACCCCAAATGCCATGTACAGTTGGGCAGGTCGTGTACTATGCAAGGATGCCACCTAAATTTAAGGGCACACTATTCATTTTGTAGATTCGTATGTTTTTTTCCTAACATGATAAGAGTGTCAAGAAAGAGGTTTTTCTATGCCTTTTTTGAATCTTCAGAAAGAATGCCTCTGTCATAGTGACAGGCTCCAGAAACCATGCTGGATACTTCAGGAAAAAAAGGAAGGGAACTGGATGCTCAGGAACTCATTGGAAGGATAGAAGGAGGGGTATCCTGGGCTTGAGACACTTGAGTTGAGGTTTGCGGTCTCTGATTGAGGTGCAGTCCGGCCTTCAGGAAGGAGTGGAAGTGCCCTTCCCACATGGGAAGCCACTGACCAGGCACAAAGGGTGTGGCCACTTCAAACAGCGCTAATCTTCCCTGCTGGCAATCTGCCAGCCAGGAGCCTCGGCCAGGTGGCTGAACCATGCCCTCCAGTCCCGGGGCTGCAGGGGAGTCTAGGAAAAGGAATTTCTGATTGGACAGTCACATAACCCAGCTGAAGCTATGGGTAAGAAGGGAGATCAAAGGAGGGATCTTCTTCAGCAGTCTCTTACACACCTCATCTGGAAAAAAAATTTTTTTTAAGATTTTATTTATTTTTTTGAGAGAGAATGGGGAGAGGGCACAGAGGGAGAGGGACAAGCAGACTCACAGCTGAGTAGGGAGCTCGACTTGGGGCTCGATCTCAGGGTCCTGAGATTAGGAGCTGAATGAAATCAGATGCTTAATGAGACACCCCTGGCGATTTTTTTCATGGACTAAAAAATACATACATGTGGTGTTTAAGACTCTTACGCCATGCACATAGAAAAACGAGATCATTTGCCAGTAGAAAATTGACCATAGAAATGAGTATCTGAAGCCAGTGTTCAGTACTGTCTGGTCATTGTCTGTGGAGGCTCTCATCCCAAGCTTGCTTCTGTTCTGTCTGCTCTTTTCTATTAAAGAGGAACATCAGCATTTGCAGTGATAAAGACTTACAGCACCAAATACAGTCTCTCTCCTTTAGGATCTGAAAGACTGAAGGGAGAAAGGAATCCTTGTCTCCACTAAGGCAAGTCTTTATTGCCGATGGCAAATGGAAACATCTTGCCCACCACTCTGGCAACCACAGATCCTGGTTTTTATTGTCTGCCTGGTGTACTCCCTAGCTGTTCCCCAGGAGCAGTGGATGTCCCGACTCCAAGCTTCATTTTCTTCTCCTGTAAGGGAAGAGTTCCTGTATGTTAGTACTTCGGTCCTTACTGTCAGTACACACCACTACCCCAAACACACACCCACTGCTGCCAGGCACTCAGGAAACACTATAAACTCAGCAAAGACTTGCCGTGTACCTACCGTTCTCGGCACAGGACACAGTGGTGAATGAAATACACAAGCCAACTGCAAATACTATGTTCTGATAAGACAGCTGGGGTGGTAGGGCTGGCAACAGTCCCAGGTGATCAAGGAACGGTGGTCATTGGACGTGGCTTTGGAGCAGAGCAGTTTCTCCTGTCCATGGTGGCGGTGCTGGGTATTGGAGGGCACAGAGATGGCTGAGGTCCAGGCTCTGACCTTGAATTCTGCCCCACCCCCAAGCCCAATTTACTTCCCCCTCACAAAAGTTTGGACTCGAGGCCAAAGGTAAGAATGCTCGAGGACGGGAGATGCCACCCAGGAGAATGACCTGGGCACGGAGATCTATTGGAAACAGTTTTAGAGGTTGAGACTTGAGTTCGGATCCCCCTCCCCCCACTTTCTCCTGACCTTGGGCAACAGACAGCTCCACAGCTCCACACTCTGACAGGTGTGGGCCTGGAGCCAGATCTGGCCTTTCTGCTTCTGGCTCTAACCTTGAGCAAGTTTCTGAAGGCTCTCCCTGCCATTTCCATGGCGAGGGGTTATAACAGCCCTCTTAAGGTGATGCAGAGTGTCCATTTGAGTTAATAAGATAAAAATTATGTGCTGAGTACTCTGAATGACTTTGCTTTCCTGATCCCCATTTTACAGAGGAGTAGGCGAGGCTCTCAGAAAAATTGCTTAGCCCAGGTCACCCAGTCAGGAAGTGCCTTGGGAAGATAAATAGTGATTATGGGAGGGCATTACTAGCCTTAAGATCCAGCATAAAATACTTGGTCCTTGAGGGTGGGGTCTGTTTCTGGCGATCAAAAGGCTGCCTTGTTCTGTCCTCAAGCACAGGAAATTCCAAGGTAGTTTTCTGTACTAGCTCCCTGTTTCTGTTCGTGGAAGGGGCCCAGGTACCCAAGCAGCCTTAAGAGAAGATGGAATTGAATATCTCAACCTGTATTGTTGAGGGGGTGGGGGGTGGCTGGCACTTGGAGTGGCCTGGGCTGCTTTGGGCCTATCTGGGCATTTTCCTGGGCAGGCAGCCCTCACCCTATCCTTGAAATGGTTCTGGCTGGGTAGCAGCCTCTCCATGTTGTGGGCGAAATTTGGGACTAGTTAAGGGCGGAGAAAGCACGGAGAACACAGGTTTCCTTGTGTTGCTGGAGAGAGGGAGGGCATAAGGAAATTAGAGACCCCATTTCCTCCTCGATCACTTTCTTGCTCAGAGCCCATGATGGCTGGGTCACCAGTGTTCCTTGTTGTCATCATTCTGCTGTCTGCCCTCCTGGGGCCCAGTGTCGGGGGCCGCGCCATGCCCAAGCTGGCTGACCGCAAGCTGTGTGCTGATGAGGAATGCAGCTGTAAGAGCTGGGGACTGGGGGCTGGGGTGGCCAGCCCATGTGGAGGGTGCTGTCATTCCCTTCTCTTCCTTCCCCAGACCCTATCTCCATGGCTGTGGCCCTTCAGGACTACGTGGCTCCCGACTGCCGTTTCTTGACCATACACAGGGGCCAAGTCGTGTATGTCTTCTCCAAGCTGAAGGGCCGAGGGCGGCTCTTCTGGGGAGGCAGTGTGAGTCTTCAGAGAACAGAAGAGGAAAGGATATGGGGGTGGGGTGGGAGTATGACCTAATTTTCCACCCAAAGGGAAAATTTGAGGGGGTGGACTGAAGTAGTTTGGCAGGGGTGAGGGGAGAGGGGGTATTGTGATCTACTTGGTGTTTACCTTGTTGAGCAATCATCGGGCACCCACTATAGTGCCAGGCTCTGTTCCCGACCCTGAAGATACAACAGTGAATGATCCCTTTTATTCTAATAGAAGGAGACAGGCCATCCAAAAATATCAGCAAATATGTGCTCCTCTGAGAATTAATACACATTGACTCGGTGGCTACTTCGGGTGGTCGGGGAGGGCTGCCATGCAGTGACTGTAAGCTGAGGTCTGAGCGACAGGGATGGAGCCAACCATCTGGAGATCAGGAAGAAGAAAAGTGCTATGGTCTTCAATAGGAATGAGTTTGCCATCTTCCCAGACCTGGCTTTGAATTTTTCCTCTCCAGGTTCAGGGAGATTACTATGGAGATTTAGCTGCTCGCCTGGGCTATTTCCCCAGTAGTGTTGTACGTGAGGACCAGACCCTGAAACCTGGCAAAATCGATGTGAAGACAGATGTGAGTGTCTTGGGGGCTGGCGGGGATCCAGAGGGAGGACCCTGGGGTTGGGATAATGAGTAAAGATTCTCCTGCCTTTGGCTCCCCGGCAGCGTAGCTGTGTGTGCTGGGACAAAGTCCCTGCCTCAGTTTTCTCCTCTGTAAAATGGGGAGTGATTGTTAAGTCCCTGTCAGATTGAGCGGCGCAAAGATTAAGGGGCTCTGGGCTAATTTGCATTGCACGCGTTTGGCCAAACCTGGCCCCTGCCGCCACAGCCTTTGCTAAAATCACTAGATCCTTTGTGGTGTGTGTGACCGCTGGTTTTCTCCCCACTGTTTTCCTTTCTCTTTTTCAGAAATGGGATTTCTACTGCCAGTGAGCTCAGTCTACCACTGTCCCTGCTGTTTTTTTTCTTCCCGGCTTTACGCAAATATAACAGCCAAGTGCAATATGCGGGTCTCTGTGGTCTTAATGGGGGGGGGGGTGTAACAAAGAAATTGTTTCCCCAGGCTCCTGAATTTAGCCAGTCAGCCCCCTGACCGTGGTAACGTCAGTGGTTGCTAGGCAGAATTCCACTGACTAAAGCTCTTCGCTCCATGCTGGGTACTGGAGGTGGGTTCCTAAACTTAAATATCACACACAAGCAAATGAGAAGGCAGAATAACCTGAACAGCTCGGTTGCGGGTCATAGTGTCCTCTCTAGACTAACGAGAGGGAGTTGGACTATTGGGAATGAGCGAATCGGACCATGAGGAAGACACAAATCACAGAATAGAGGCATCTGCAAAGGGAGATGGGAGGTTAGCCTGCGCGTATCTCCCCCACCCCCGAGTTTTCCTCTTTCTTGCCTTTGAGGTCAGAAAGAGCGCTCGCCAATTCAATATCCGCTGTTCTTCAGGGTCTTTCTGTCGATGCTGTCCATGCCCACTTCTTTGCAGCCATGTCCCCGCCCCCAAGCCCACTCCTACCCAATCCGGAGTCTCGACTCTGCACCCATACTCCTGACCAAATCCGTTTCTCAGGTCGGCAAGGCATCTCCGTACGGTCCCTTCCCACTAGCTCCGCCAATCGCTCGCTTGGTCCCTCCCCCTTTGGCCCCTCCCTTCTCGCGCCGCCAATCCTCGCCTTTTGTCCCGCCTGCCAGCCGTCGAGCTCACCAATCCCTGCCTCTGGGAAGCGTGGCCTGGTATGCCTCAGCCCTAGCGGGTACTGCCGTAGGGAGGTGGAGGCGGAAGTGGCGGCGCCGGCCCCGGGAGTAGGAAGGAGCCGGGGCTGCAGCCGGAGTGGAGCGGCTGCCAGCCGAGGAGCAGGCGTGGCCGCGGCGCCATATTGCGGCCCCAAGTGGCCGCGACCGAGTCATGGCCGAGACCTACGGTGAGGGTGGTGGGCCGAAGTCGGGGTCTGGGGTCTGGGCCCAGGGAGGATGCGGCCTTTGGGAAGTGGGGCGGGGCCTTATGTGCCAGGGGGCGGGGTCTGGCATTGGGCAGGGCCTAGTGGATGCTGGGAGGGGTTTAGTGGGTCCGAGGCTGAGCTCCATCGATTTGGGCGGAGCCTGAGGGTCTGGTGTGTGGGTTAAACGGGTCTGGGGCGGGATTTGAGGGAACCAGTCTTGATGGACCTGCGCAGGCCTTGAGGGAAAGGGTAGGTCTTAATGTGTCGGGGCGGAGCCTGAGTGGATGGGGTGGGGCTGACTTTATGAATGGCAGGACTGGAGGATGGTGGGCGGGGAGAACCCCAAAGGGATGCTGTGGACCCTGGGACTGCTCTGGCTTGAGAGGTCTGCAGTGGGGCTGGGGATGAGTTGTCCTTGAATTAAGTGGTGGGAGGGACTCGTGGCAAGGGTCGGGGCTTACACTTGAGCGTGGGGGCAGAGGGATGGATGGAGGAACCGAGAATTGAAAAATCTGGAAGGATGGATGGATGGATGGATGGATGGATGGATGGATGAAGAGGAGGAGGGAGGACAGGGTGCGGTAGAAATAGCACTAGTACGAGTAAGAAGGAGCTACGATCCTTCAACAAGCAGGGAAAAGTCGAGGGAACAAGTGCAAAGATCCTGAGGTGGGACCCAGCTTGCCATTTTCAGGGAATAGACTGAAGGCCACCGTGGTGGGAGGTGAAGTCGTGAGGGGCAAGGGCAAGCCTATAGTCCTCCATAAGATGGCTTTCAAGAGGCTTTAACTAGGTAATAGCCAAACTTTTGAACTCTGGAGCCAGTAGACCTGGATTCAGATCCCAGCTCTGCCCAGCTATGGCATCTTGGGGAAGCCAGTTAACCTTTCTGGCCTCAGTTTCCTCATCTGGAAGATGGGGATACTTTTTAGTATCCTCCCTCATAGAGTTTTTCTGAGGAATAAGTGAGCTTGCAGTAGTGAAGAACTTTAGAACCGTGCCTGTTATGTGGTAAGCGCTGTGTAAGAATTGTCTGTGACCGTTGTTACTGTAGCTCTGTTGCTGCGTGTGTCTCTTTGTACCCTTGTAACTGTGATGGTCTCTTGGCTTCCATTTTTTTGCCCTGTATCATTCTCTCCATATGGGTTTCCCTGATCTTGGCTCCATCTGCTCAGACTTCCTCTTCAAATTCCTGGTGATTGGCAGTGCAGGAACTGGCAAATCATGTCTCCTTCATCAGTTCATTGAGAATAAGTGTGAGTTTCTGGGAGTGGTCCTGGGAGCACTGAACTGTGGGCGTGGGCATGGCGGGGGCAGGGGCAGGGCTGGCCATAAGTACAATTCCAGTGCTGGCTGCCTGGCCCTCGCCTTTGCTAAATCCTCCTTGAGCCTCAGTCACCCCAGCAACGAGAATGGTTTGGTACAGGCTGAGGAGGCCAGGGAGGACAGGGAATCTTTTGAGCCCCTGCACTGCCTCTTCTCTCCCTCCCACTCCCAGTCAAACAGGACTCCAACCACACAATCGGCGTGGAGTTTGGATCTCGGGTGGTCAACGTGGGTGGAAAAACTGTGAAGCTCCAGATTTGGGACACAGCCGGCCAGGAGCGGTTTCGGTAGGTGGGCTGGGCTCCCAAGGGAGGGGGGTAGAGGAGAGAGGAGAGAAAATGGGAGAGCAAGACAGGGAGAGAGAGAGGTGTGTGCAGTCACTTGGAGATCTGACACAGAGCCATTGAGAGAGCACGCAAGGCGGGGGAAGAGAGATGGAGACTGAGTACAGGTACCTATAGCCAGAGAGAGCAAGAGTCTTGGAGAGGGAGCAGGGATAGTGCGGGAAAATGATGTTAAGAAAGAAGCATAATGAAGGGACAGACCCACAGACCCTAGAGAGACTGCAGTTGATCAACCCATATGGCTGGAGGGATGGAGACTTGTGCCCAGGGAGAGGCGCCCAGGGTGGGGGCGATGGGGTGAGGTGGAAAGGGAGAGACTAAAGAGAGGGAGACTGGAAAAGAGATACACTCAGAAAGGGACAGAGAAAGACTGAGACCCAGAAGAAGAGCAAGGTAAGGGTGATAAAGAGACACAGAGAGAAACAGGTCGGAGCCAGAGACAGGGAGGGTGGGACAGGTGAAGGCACAGAGATGGAGATATGGATGTGTGTGGCAGAGGGGAGAGAACTGTGTAGGGCTCAGCACACAGTATGTCTTCAGGAAAGGTCTGCAGACAAGGTGGTCGATGCCTGGAAACCCCGATTTGGAGAAACAGAGACGGAGAGGAGGGACATGAAGGAGTCGAGTCCATGGAGAGGTGTGGCCCCAGGCTAGCACCATGTAGCTGCTAAGTTAATATTGGTGTGTTGATCTGCTGAGCGAGAGAGATAGAGGGCCAAGGATATATGGCTTGTGCTGGGCTTAATGCTTATGGAATGACTGCCCAAGTTTGAGGGAGACCCAGACAGGTGACGCAGAGATGCGGGCCACTGGCCCCCCTTGGGAACAGGGCCTCCCAGAGACGGGGCAGAAGAGGGACAAGCAGATGTCCTTGCAGAGCACTTGGTCAGGACTGGGCAAAGGGGAGATGGCAGGAAATGAGGAATGAGCGAATGCATGAGAAATCAAGAGCGAGGATGAGAGGACCAGAGCCAGAGCGACAGACAGAGATAGAGAGCCTTCAGGAATGAGAGAGACACACATGTAAGAGAGACGGAAAGACACAAACCAGTGAAGAGATACAGAAAGACAGAGACACAGAGAGAGTCGAAGACAGGCAGACCGCTAAGAGAGGCAGAGATTGAGGGAGACAAAGAGAGCAGCAGAGAAGGGAATTGTGCTGAGACCAGACCATCGCCAGCTTTGGGGAGATGGGCCAGCAGTAAAGGGGGGTCTCCGAACCACCAGTCTCTCTCCGCAGAGGGGGGCAATCTCAGGGCAGACCCCAGCCTCGGGGGTGACTGGATCCCCCTGGCCCCACAGGTCGGTGACGCGGAGTTACTACCGAGGGGCGGCTGGAGCCCTGCTGGTGTACGACATCACCAGGTGGGTGCACGGAGAGCGTGGAGCGGGGCCGGGCGGGACCCCCAGCCTGTGCCTGCCTCCCTTCCTCCTCTCTCCCTTCTCCTTAGCCGGGAGACGTACAACTCGCTGGCCGCTTGGCTGACGGACGCCCGCACGCTGGCCAGCCCCAACATCGTGGTCATCCTCTGTGGCAACAAGAAAGACCTAGACCTGGAGCGCGAGGTCACTTTCCTGGAGGCCTCTCGCTTTGCCCAGGAGAACGGTGAGGACCCTGTGGTGGGCCAGCAGGGGAGGGGGCCTCAGGAGAGAAGCAGGAGCTGTCCACTGGGGCCCGTGGGCCTCCCGGCTGTCTGTGGCTGTGCCTAGCAGGGCAGTGTGGGCACTGAGAGGTCTGGGTTCAGATTCGAGTGTTGCCGCACGTCAGCTGTCTTTCCTTACCTGGGGAGTGGGAATCACAGTGTTTCTGCCCGCATAGCGCAGGCTGGTTTAGGGGATTGGTCCCTGGGGAGCCCTCAGCACTGCCTGGACAAGGCAGCAGGCCCTGGGTTAACGGCTGTCAACAAATGCAGGCTGTTGGCGTAATGCGGAGGTTGCAAACTCCGATGACCCGGGGATACTGGCCTGTTTTGTGAGTAGGGGAGAGAGGACAGGGTAGACTCCAAGTTAGCAGGCAGTAGCCTTAGGGGCATGGACAGGACCAACAGCCACATCCAAAGGTGTGTGAGAGTAAACTCATTTGAAAACTTCTGTGTTGGCCAAACATCTACTAAGCTCAGGGTCTGTCTGTGTCCCTCCAGTTGGTAACCTCCAGGTTTGGAGGATGGTTTTTTGCCATCTGAAAGATGTGGGCTGGAGTCCTGGCTCTTACTTTCTGTGAGACCTTGTCATGTGGCTCAAGGGTGGACCATGGTGGGCCTGGGTCTGGCCTAGCGGTGCTGGGAACATAGCTGTAAAGACACCCTGGGCCCAGCATTTGCGGGAAGGGAGTCAGGACCCTTTACAGAGAGGTCAGGGCTGGGATAAAGGAGGCACAGGGGGCTGTGGGAGCCCAGGGGGCTAGAAGGCCACCTTATCATGCTGGGAGGTCAGGGAGGACTTTCTGGAGGAGGAGGTATGTAGGCCGGAACCACCTGGGGAGGGGGGCCCTCCATGGCAGGACAGCAGCCTGAGCAAGGGCCTGGAGTGAGGGCAGAGGTGGAATGCTTGAGGAGCAGAATGAGAGGGGGTCAGTCAGAGTCAAGGGGAGGGTGGGGACTGACTGAGACCCTGCTCCCCAGAGCTAATGTTCCTGGAGACTAGTGCCCTCACGGGTGAGAACGTGGAAGAGGCTTTCCTGAAGTGTGCCCGCACCATCCTGAACAAGATCGACTCAGGTGAGGCCCCTGACTGCCCAGAGTAGGAGTGGGAGCGAAAGGCAGGGCCCAGAGGTCTCCAGGGGACCAGTCCTGACCTCTCCCCTATCCCCCACCTCCCAGGCGAGCTTGACCCCGAGAGGATGGGCTCGGGCATTCAGTACGGGGATGCCTCCCTCCGCCAGCTGCGGCAGCCTCGGAGCGCCCAGGCCGTCACCCCTCAGCCATGTGGCTGCTGAGACGTGCACGGAGCCAGGTGGGAGCCTGGGGCCCTGGGACGGCAGGGGTAGGGTCCTGGCAGGGGGGAATACTGAACAGAGACAGAGACACAGAAAAGGAGAGGCCATGAGAGAAAGTGAGAAAGAGGCAAAAACAGTAGAGTGAAAGGAGCCATTGTCCTGGCCTTGGGGATGTCCTTTCCATCTTGCCACCAGCTCTCTGCCTGGGATCTCTGACCCACCCATGCCTAATTCAGCAAATATTTATTGAGTGTCCGCTGTGTGCCAGGCCCTGTTCAAGCAGTGGGCCAAACAGACAGTCCCTGCCCCTGTGGAGCCAACATGCTCTTGGGAGGAGACAGGCAATAAGCAAGACACATGAGAAAATGACGTGGTAGTTAAGAAGATAAGAGCTGTGGAGAAAAATAAAGGGAAAGTCAGGGTAGGTAAGAGGTGAGCAGTGGAGATATTCCATGATGAGGGAAACCCTCACTGAAAAGGTGACATTTGACCAAAGACCTTAAGGAGGGGAATGGAGCTGGGGGGTTCATATGGGTCCCTGGGGGATGAGTGTTCTAGGCAGAGAGAACAACCAGTGCAAAGGGCCTGAGGTAGGGGCATGCCTGGCCTGGATCAGGAAGTCCATGGAGGCCAGTGTGGCTGGAGCAGAATATGTGTGTGTGTTTGGGGTGGGAGGGAGAAGATGAGGTTAGGTATGGGGGGAAACAGATCGGATAGGGCCTTGTTGTCCATGAGGAGGTTCTGGGTTGTACCCTGGGCTGGATGGGAGCCATGGGAGGGCTCTGAGCAGAGAAGGGACAGGACCTGATTCAGGTGTTCCCAGGATCCCTCTGGCCACATATAGAGGAGAGGAGGGGGTGGACAGGAGTGGTTCCTGAGAGACCAGTGAGAAACTACTGCAGAGTCAAGCTGAGAGACAGTGGTGGACAGGATAGGGGGACAGGCAGAGGAGGGACTGAGACATGGCTAGGTTTGTTTCCTCCCTGGTCTCTGTAGTCTTGCCTGCTCTTGATGTAGCCACTGGGTCTTTCTAAAGCACAAATCTGATCCTGTCCCTCCCCTGTTTAAAACCACCCATGGCTCCCAGGGTCCATGGGACAGAGCCGAAGCTCGTAGCCTGGTGTTTGCCCCGCCAGCCTCACCTGCCTCAACTCACACCTCTCCCCACCGCTCAGGCCGCTGCAGACACCCTGAAGTTCTTCCCGTTTCTCTGGGTCTTCGTTCATGCTGTTCCCTCTGTCAGAAACACTGTTCCTTCCCTCTCTTCCCTCCTCCCCCTCCTCCCCCTCCTCCAGGAAGCCATGCTTCCCCTATGCTTGGTCCACACTCCTTGCTGGGCTTACAAGGCCCTACAGGATAAGGTCCCATCCCCACCTCTTCGAGAGTGTGTATGTCCTGCCAATTTGCCCTGTGCTTCACAACCCCCCACGCCCCCCCCCCACTGCCTCCCCTGCTTCCAGCCATTGGCTGCTCCAGGGTCGCTGTGGGGAAAAGTGCTCAGACCTTGGATATACTTTGAAGGCAGAGCCAACATGATTTCCTGATGAATGGATGTGGCATTTGAGAGAGAGGAGTCAAGGGTGAGTGTTTTGGGCAGCCCTGTTTCTTTCCACACCCCTGCACCTGCTGTGGCTCCGCTGGGGCGTATCTGTCCTCCAACCTCCTTTCTTTTTTCTTTCTTTTTTCTTTCTTTTTTTTTCTTAAGGATTTTATTTATTTATTTGATAGAGATTACAAGTAGTCAGAGAGGCAGGCAGGGAGAGAGGAGGAAGCAGGCTCTCTGCTGAACAGAGAGTCCGATGCAGGACTCGATCCCAGGACCCTGAGACCATGACCTGAGCCGAAGGCAGAGGCTTTAACCCACTGAGCCACCCAGGTGCCCCTCCAACCTCCTTTCTTGCACCAACTGCCCTTTGTCATCTGGTCTTTGCCAGACCCTTGTCACCTTCCCACCCGGGGCCACTACCTCTAGCCGGCTGGTCTCACAGGTGCCCCCTACGTTTTAAAGCATTCAGCTCTGAACACTCAGTCATTATTGTGTTTGTCTTCCCCATCTGAGAAGGGAAGGAGGTTGGGGCGCCTGGGTGGCTCAGTGGGTTAAGCCGCTGCCTTCAGCTCAGGTCATGATCCCAGGTCCTGGGTTCAAGCCCCACATCGGGCTTTCTGCTCAACAGGGAGCCTGCTTCCTCCTCTCTCTCTGCCTGCCTCTCTGCCTACTTGTGATTTCTCTCTGTCAAATAAATAAAAAAAATCTTTAAAAAAAAAAAAAAAAAAAAAAAAAGAAGGGAAGGAGGTGACAGGTGAGAGATCCCAGACCAGGGTGCCTGGGTTTTCAACTCTGACTCTGTCGCTTCCTACCTGCACGACTCTGGGCAAATTCTTTATGTATTTATTTATTTATTTTTAATTTAAAGATTTTTATTTACTTATTTGACAGAGAGCACAAGTAAGCAGAGCAGCAGGCAGAGGGAGAAGCAGGCTCCCCACTGAGCAGGGAGCCTGATGCGAGGTTCAATCCCAGGACCTGGGGATCATGACCTGAGCCAAAGGCACCACTTAACCCACTGAGCCACTCATGCGCCCTAGGCAAATTATTTAGACACTCTGGGTTCTCCATTTTCTCACCTGTAAAATGGCGCTAATAATAGTACCTACCTCCTTTGGGTGTTGAGAAGATTAATTACATCAATTCATGTAAAGTCCTTAGCACAGGGCCTGATGCTTCCTAAAGACTTGAGAAATGAGGGCTGTTTATTTGAAAGAGCTGGGGCTTTGTAGGAATGGATGGGTGTGTATTCTTCACCTGAGGGCTCAGAATGGCGTGCTTTTCAGGGTTTGCTCTCAGTGAATCAAATGTAATAAGACCGGGCTTTTTCAAACGTTTTTGACTGCACTCTGCAAGAGAAGATACATTTTAGACGTCTTGATCTGATACAGTTCCACACACATCAAAGCTGAAACATGTTTTTCTAGCACTAATATTCTTTGTTTTTGTTTTTAGTCGAGGTGAAATTCACATGGCATAAGTTAGCCATGAAAACGTTCCAAAAAAACGTTCCAAAACATTTTTGTTGCCCTAAGGAAACCCCGTACTCATTAAACATTCCCCCCAGCCTCTGACACCCACCACTGCTTGGTGTCTCTAGGGACCAAATAGTCAGTATTATATATGATGCCCCTCTGATATCTTCTATTTTATTCTGTTTCATTGAAACATTGGCCAAGGCCCATCACACTGATTTCCCAGCCCACTAATGCGGTGCTGCACATTGAAATCACCTGGAGAGCTTAAAAAAATTCTGATGCCTGGGCCTCACCCCAGAAATTCTGAAGTGCTTTCCGGATTTCTAGAAGCTCCCAGGTAATGCTATCTGTAGCTGAAGCAACAAGCACTAACCGAAGGTGTCCGCTCAGTTTGGAAGACACTGGAATGAGCCAGGGCAGTCCAGAAACACAGAGGGACACAGAGATACAAGGGAGCGGGGCGTGAAATTTAGATACTGAGATACCCCTCTGCAGACTCCAGGGGTCAGCCCTCTGAGACAAACAGGGAGATGCAGGTACCCTCAGAGTGACAGCCCCAAATTACCAGCAGATGAGAAACACAAAATCGGACAGTGCAGAAACTCTGAAAGAGAGAGAAAGGTATGGACAGACAGACACAGGAAGGCAGGAAGATACCCAGAAATGAGACAGAGACACTAGCCAGGTAGACCCAGGGTCCCTTTAGTTCACCACACGCTTTTTTTTCAGCTCATCCGTTCTCCAGGACCAACCCTGCCCTTCGGGCCGGGGCCCAGACCCAGGCCCTGGGAGGCCGAGCCCCTCACCTGTCCTGGCCCCAGAGAAGCTGCCCCGCCACCTGTCCCCCTTCCCTGGCCTGGTGGGGCCTGGCTGAGGGGCAAGACTGAGCCACGGGGGAAGGGGGAATCCGTACCTGCTGCTGCTTCCTCTGTCTTGGCTAATCCCCGTCCCCCCAGAACCCCTAACCATACTCGAAGAGTTCCCAAAGCCTGAGATCAGGGCATTCGGCCCCAGCTCCCCGCCATTGCGAGTACGTGTTATTTATTGCCTGGAGGCCTGTCCAGTCCCCACCACCCCATAAAGCATTGTTTACACCTGTGTCTTGGCCTCTCTTATTTTGGGGTGATGGGGAGGGAGGGGAGACAGAAGAGATTCCTGATGGAAGAACCACGTGTCATGGTGTGTGGGGGTCATGTTTCTGGATTGGATGTGGCGTTGGGGGGACACTGTGACTCAGGTGGTGCTGTGGAGGGAATCTGTAACTGCCCGTGTTGTGCTAAGGCATGCTGGAGGCCCACCTGTGTAGCACTGGTGTCCTGTGACGCGTGTGTGACAGAGTCTGTAGGCATATGTGCTGATTGTGTGTGTGACACCATTGCTCATGACTACTTTGTGCCCTTGGTGACTGTATCCATGGGGCTGGTGTTGTTTGGGACCAAGGCCAGGGAATGGAAATTCAGGCCTCTAGGTGATCTCCATGCATGTTTGATGCTGGAAGTTCCCAGACTGTGTCTGATTGTTGCGTGTGACTGTGCGTTTATGCCCTGAGGTCTGTGTTTGTCTTGTGTGAATTTGGCACCCTTGATACAGCTGTGTGTGACCGTGAACCCTGAGTAGGGTAGGCCTTTGTGCAACCCTGACTTGTGCATACTTCAGACCAGTGTCTATCTTTGTGTCCTGGTGAACTGATAGTCGCAAGTGCCTTGTCAGGGACAGGCGCAACCCCTTCAGGACATCCCCAACTTCTTTGCCATCCCCAAGTCCGCACTAGCCCACCTACAGGGTAGGCCTGAGCCCCTGACCCCCTCCCCCAAACCTGGCCGTGGTGGAGGGAGCCCGGCATTTAAATAACCTCATCTGCATAGTTCTTCCAGGCTGGGTCGCCCAAAATGTTCTTAGACCCGAGGCTGTTAGACAAAAGTCTTCTCTGCTTACCGGGCGTGGCTTTCCTAGGTTGCTTTATTCAGATTCCCACAATTTTTCCCGAAAGGAAAGGGTGGAACGGGTCATACTGTGGCTTCCCTTTCGGTCTCTTCCTCTATCAGGGATGTTCCGCACTTTTTTAAGTACTTACGTAAATTACTTGCTAATATGTGTATTTACATACATTTTTAAACTAACTGCGCAGACATTGGCCTATCACAGCTCTATTCTGGGGCTGCGAGGAGGGGCTGACCATGTAAATAACATGATTTGCATGCCACTGTCCGGCCCGGCTACACGTCATTCTCCCGCGCTCCGGACTCTGATGGGGTGGGCCGGCCTATGCAAATAACCCTATTTGCATATCCCTCCCACGTCGCTTGGCCTAACCGCTGAACTACCCCCAACCCTTGCCGGATCCAGCCCTTTCTTTTTTTTTTTTTTTTTTTTTTTAAAGATTTTATTTATTTATTTGACAGACAGAGATCACAAGTAGGCAGAGAAGCAGACAGATAGAGAGAGGTGGAAGCAGGCTCCCTGCAGAGCACAGAGCCCGATGTGGGGCTCGATCCCAGGACATTAGGACCATGACCTGAGCCGAAGGCAGAGGCTTTAACCCACTGAGCCACCCAGGTGCCCCGGATCCAGCCCTTTCTAACAGCCTTCTTCCCCTCGCCCATAATGGGCCGAGGGCAGTATGCAAATGACAGACCCATTTCCCCTATCTGGAGGTGGGGGGGATGTTCTGAACTTCCTTGCTCCGCCCCGCGCGCCTCGCGCCTGCGCACGCACGGTCTCCTTCGCGGGCGCGGTCACGTGCCCACCGGGCGAGGCGGGGGCGGAGCGTCGCGGGAGGTGGGGGCGGGGTATGGCGCGCTGTGCGGCGCAGGGCGGCTGGCACAAACGGCGGCGGCGAGGCCGGAGGAAAAAGCTCGGTGAGGAGAGCTCGGGGAGGAAAGGGGCGAAGAAGGCGCTCGAGCCGGGGCACCGGCGCGAGCCGGGCGTAGTATGGGGGCGCGCGCCGGCCGGCGTGGCCGAACGCGGCGACCCCGGGAAGGGAAGGGTGGGGGTAGGGCGTGGGGGAGGGAACGCGCCGGGCACATTGAGTGCCGGCCGTGTGGGGGGGGGGGGGGGCGGAGAGCGCGCGCCGGGGGGGGGGGCGGGGAGGAAGGGGGCGCTGGGTGCGAGCGGTCCGTAAGCCCGGTCTCCGTCGCTTACAGCGCCCCTAGCAGCGAGGCCCGCACCAAAGGGGCTTGGGAGGGGCCGCCTTCTCCCGTCCTGTCCCCGAGTGCGTGAACCCTTCCCCGCCCTTCCCCCCGACCGTCGCCGTGGACCCTCCTCCCGCGGCTGCCTTCCGTCTGTCTGTCTGTCTTAGGCCCTCCCTTCCGTCTGGGTGTGTGTCAGCCACCGGCAGGCTTCCTCCCGTTGGGCTTAGGTTGACCCTTCCGCCCCGTTCTGTCCGGCTGTCTCAGGCCCGCCCTCCCAGCTTCTCCCCGGCCGGCGTTTCCGTCTTTGGGCCCCCCATTCTCTTTGTCTCTGGGCTCCCCGGTTTGCTCTGTCTGTGGAGCACCCCGTTCCCGCCGTGTGTCTCGGGAATCCCCAGGCAGATCTCCCGCTCCCCACTGCTCTGGCATTCCTTTCCTACTTCAGTTCTCCTGCGTCCTTTCTGTTTGCTATGTGTCTGTCTGAGGATGCCCTCCCCCAGCCCCCACCGCGCTTCTGTGTCTTTGGGTCATCTCCCCAGCTTCACTCCTACTGCTGCTTCCCTCGCTACCTCTTCGCTCCTTGATTGCACCACCCCTCACAGTTCCCATGATCTTCTCCCCAACGTGGCCTCAGGTTTTGGGGGACTGTGTAGCCAAATCTGTCTTCCTCCCTATTGCCCTGCTGCCCCTCACCCCACATCACTCGGAGTGCCTCTGGCTCTTCTCACATTCCCTTTTTTTCTTCTCTCCCCCTTCAGCCACCCTGACAGGTCCTTTCCCAAGCCCCTAGGGGCAGCAGAGGACTTGGGGACCAGCGAGCACCCCCAGGGCACGAGAAGAGCCTCTGCTGCCTGCCCTGCCTCACCCTGCCCTACGCCAGGCTCAGCCACCCCGGCCCCGGGCTGCATCAAGTGGAGGAGGCAGAGGCGGAGGAGGGTGGCACCATGGGCCCGGGCCGTGCCCTCCATGCCCGGGGGATGAAGACGCTGCTGCCATGGACAGCCCGTGCCAGCCGCAGCCCCTGAGTCAGGCTCTCCCTCAGTTGCCGGGTTCTGCGTCAGAGCCCTTGGAGCCTGGTAGGGCTAGGATGGGGGTGGAGAGTTACCTGCCCTGTCCCCTGCTACCTTCCTACCACCGTCCAGGGGCACCTGGTGAGGCCTCGGCGGGGAGTGGGACCCCCAGGGCCACAGCCACCTCCACGACAGCTAGCCCTCTGCGGGAGGGCTTCGGCGGGCAGGATGGTGGTGAACTGCGCCCGCTGCAGAGTGAGGGCGCTGCCGCGCTGGTCACCAAGGGGTGCCAGCGACTGGCGGCCCAGGGGGCCCGGCCGGAGGCCCCCAAACGGAAGTGGGCAGAGGATGGTGGGGATGCTCCAGCACCCAGCAAGCGGTCCTGGGCCAGGCAGGAGAACCAGGAGGCAGAGGCTGAAGGGGAGGGCAGCATGGGCTGCGGCAGTGGCAACAGCGAGGCCAGCGTGGGGCCGAGGGAGGAGGTGCTTCCCACTGCACCCGAGCGCCTGGCCCTGGACTATATCGTGCCCTGCATGCGGTACTACGGCATCTGTGTCAAGGACAGCTTCCTGGGGGCAGCACTGGGTGGCTGTGTGCTGGCTGAGGTGGAGGCCCTGAAGCGGAGTGGGCGCCTGCGCGACGGGCAGCTGGTGAGCCAGCGGGCTATCCCGCCGCGCAGCATTCGTGGGGACCAGATTGCCTGGGTGGAAGGTCATGAGCCTGGCTGCCGAAGCATCGGGGTCCTCATGGCCCATGTGGACGCTGTGATCCGCCATTGCGCTGGACGCCTGGGTGCCTACGTCATCAACGGGCGCACCAAGGTAAGGCTGCAAGGGCCTTGAGTGGAGGGGCCCCCCCAGCGCCTGCCTTCGGGGTACCTGGTGCTCTGAGTATCAGTGCCCTTGGAGGTAGGCTTGTGGGGTCACAGAAAGATGCAGGCAGCACCGGTGGAGTAAGTATTGGTGCTAGAGTTGGGTTTGGGATCTCCCTTACGGTGGGCACTTTGGGGGTCTGTGTGCTTTCTCTTTCCCCATTTGCCTTTCTTTTCATCTCTCCATCTTCCCCTTTCAGTGGCCTGTCTCTGTTCTGTCCGTTCGGTCTCCCAGGCAGGAGAAGCAGGAGACATAGTGGGGAGGGTGGCAGTGGTGAGACCTGTGCCAGGCTGAGGGAGGAGGTGCTGCCCACGGGCTTGGGGCTGGACCGCTTTTTGCCCTGTGCCATACTGTGACATCCGTGGCCTGGACAGCTTCCTGGGTGCCTGTGTGCTGCCCTGGGGGTGGGGGTGTCCTGTCCTTCATCTTTCGTATGCTTTCCCATTCTGATGCTTGTCCTGTATCCTTCCTGTCTGTCCATCACTGTGTTTTTGTCCATTCTGACCTGTTCTTTCTGTTTTGTGTTTTTTCTTGGTTTCTTTTTTTCTTGCTTTACAGTAGTTGTTAACCAGTTTTTGTGGGGGGGGGGGACATGGGCTTTTTTGAGAATTTGCTGAAACCACAGATCCTTTTTTAAGAAAAATGCTCGTTTGTCTAGTTTATGGGCAATCATCAGTGTCTCTTGAGCATTTAGCTGCCTGTTCGAGAACCTAGGTCAGGAGCTCTCCACAAGACAGTGGTCTTTTGGGGCTTTTTGGCCTTCTGACACAATAATTCTCTTCATAGAGGGGTGAAAGGGCTCTGGCCTTGAGTCCAGGACAAGTGTCATTTGGCCAAGGCCCCCGCAGGGAGTGCCTGCTGCACACCAGTGATTACTGGCTGATGGCAGGGCTGTTTGCTTCGCTCGGGGCATGTGGCTGTGCTCCTGATGTCTCCTCCTTCCGATCTCATCTTGGGTTCTGCCTCTGTACAGCTTCTGTCTCCGGCTGGAACTGGCTCAGGGACCCAGGCTCCCTCGGGCCAAGGCCAGCATCCTCCCCGTCCAGCTAGGACTTGTCCTACTTCTCCCTGCCTTCTGTTACTTGATAGCTTGAGAGTCAGAGGAGGCCTTCCCTGTGTTCTGTTCCTGTGCAGGCAGGAGTGGTAAGAGGGAGCCTCCCTGGCCTCAAGGGGATCAGCATCTTCACGCCAGGTCACTCATCCTCGCAGAAGGAAGTGTGAGGGGAGAGTGGGAGAGCTGAATGGCCCATGGCGGCACACTTTCCTCAGCCTCAGTTTGCTTATCCACAGGAGAGGAAAATCAGTTAAGTCCCCAGCTAGTGTTCGGCAGTTTTAGGCGGGGAGGTGAAAGTAGATTGAGCAGATGTTTCCCCCTTGGTGCCTTGGATGTGGTTTGGGCCAGAGCCTTGGCTAAGACTGGGGGCTGGGGGGGGGGGGTTGGGACTATTTTAGCTCTCGGTGACTTCTGTTGACCTGGGAGGTCAGGACTGGCGGGGGAGACAACCCAGTCACTGGAGTTCTCTTAGACACCCCCACCAAACCCATGAGACACCTGCTCCAGGCTTCCCCACCTTCAACAGGCAACCTCTGGACTCCCTCCCCAGGCTCTGAAATAAGAGTGTGGGGTACCGAGGTGGGTGGTCACAGAGGTGGTCGGGGCACACATCACCAGTGTGGCTGGAGTCAGCCACAACCTGCCTGTTGGTCACTCCGGAATGGAGCTCCTATGTTCTGTTCTCCCAGCTATCTCTAGTCTCTCTGCTCTGCTGACTTGCAGGTGGGAGAGGGTTGGCTCCGCTGGCATCAAGGACAACCATAGGGGATCACAGGGAGGGCCTGGCTGGCTTGGTTGCCCCTTTAAGAGCAGCTTGGAGGTGGGGCCTGCTGTCATTGGCTCAGTCCCCAGTTTCTGCTGGACTCTCTGTGTGTGTGTGTGTGTGTGTGTGTGTGTGTGTGTGTGTGTGTGTGTGT